TAAATGACAGGTTGGGCATGCTGACTGTCAAAATTTTTATTTTTGACCCCCATATTTCTCTTAAATTCAAATTCTGGCCCATATTTCTAAAATTTTCACACTTAAGTCTTTAAAAATTTCAAATTAACCCCAAATAAATTTTGGGTTTTACAACTTCATCCCCCTTGGGAAATTTCATCCTCGAAATTACAATTACAACTGTATTCAGAATAGATAAGGGTACTTTTCCTGCATTTCTCACGACGGCGCAGAGTCTTAATCTCACGTTCTAAAATCTGAACAGGAAACTCCTCGTAAGTCGTGTCTACCTCGATCGGGACATCTGTCCATGTTATTATCTGAGATGGATCTGGTTCGTACTTCCGTAGCATCGACACGTGGAAGACGTTATGGACATGAGACAATTGGGATGGCAGGTCTAGGCGGTATGCGACTGGTCCAATTCGTTCTAGTATCTGAAATGGCCCTGTGTATCTCGGTGCAAGCTTGCCTCGAACACCAAAACGAGAAACACCGCATTTTGGGGTCACTTTTAAGAACACGAAATCTCCAATCTCAAACTCCAACGGTCGTCTCCGGTTATCTGCATAACTTTTTTGTCGACTCTGAGCAGCTTTGAGGCGATCATGAATAAGTTGAACTCTATCTGTTGTTTCCCGTACAAACTGAGGCCCAAGATTAATGTGTTCTTCTTTCTCAGCCCAACATAAAGGAGATCTGCAGGGTCTACCATACAGAGCCTCAAATGGAGCCATTTCAATGCTAGCTTGATAGCTGTTATAGTAGGCAAATTCAGCATTTGGTAGGTACTCACCCCATCTGCCTCCAAAGTCCAAAATACAAGTGCGAAGCATATCTTTAAGAATCTGTATGACCCGCTCTGATTGGCCATCAGTCTGGGGATGAAAAGCGGTGCTAAATCTCAGCTCAGTTCCCAAAGCATTCTGTAATCCTTTCCAAAACTTAGAGGTGAATCAAGCGTCACGATCAGAGACAATAGACATAGGGACACCGTGTAACGTGACTACCCTCTCGATGTACAATCGACACAGCTTGGGAACCTTATAATCAGCTCTTATAGGAATGAAAT